TAAGATCTTTGCCATACTCTGCCAAGCCAAAATCTGCTAGGTGTGGAGAAAGATTTTCTCCTAGCTTCATTTACAAAACAAATTCATAGCAGTGGAAATAAAATTAGTCAGATGATTAGTATGTTGTAGGAATAAATAACTCGGTTCACGACTTCACGTAAATATAAAATGATACCAATCAGTGGAACAGTTTTGAAATAGTTGATGATTACAAGAATATTGTCAGGTTTGACATCCCTATGTACAATCCCAAGGTTGTGTAGATACTGCAAAGCCTCCGCTGTACAGGAAAAAACGAGCATTATAAACATATTATTCATCAGATTAATGTGTGCTCTCTCTCATAAAAATTCAAATAAAAATTCGAAACTATAGCAAATCAATGTATTACAAAATTGACTATGACTAATAGAATAACAAGACCAGAAAAAGAATAACTAGACTTACTCCGAAGTCCCAACATAGATCATACAGAAAAAGAAAAAAAGAGAGGGAAAAAAAAAGTATATATACAACCCTTTCTTATGGTGAAAAAATCACATTAAGTTGTCATGCATGATGAGATGAACCCCCCAACTCTCTGAAAAATACAAACCCTGGCTACCATTTCTTTGCATGTGCCTTGTATTAGTCGTATATATACAGCCCTTTAATTCCAGCAATGCAAATAAGAGGAATTCAGGTTTTCATCAGCTTAATTAAGATCAGGTCTGTCAAGAAGACATTGATAACTCCGATTTTGAATTCAACATACCTGCTATTCTAGATCAATTTATCTCTACAACTTCAATTCTGTGAGGTGGGCCTTGAAATTTATCACAAGTGCAACAGGGATTCACAAATAGCCAACCTAAATATGCTACCTGTATGATTTTAATTTAAGCTATAAAAAACATTGTAAACTTATGACTACTACCATCCGAAGGAAAAGGTTAACAACTTAACCTGAATGAAAAATGAAAGAAAACAAAATTTCCAATCCTAAGAATGGCAGTAGTAATACAGGCAGAGGTTTGAATCTTTCTAACCACGAGAAGTTCATGCATTTCTATCCTCAAGGAGAAAACTAATCATTCTAAATTTCTGATGCCCTGATATTGATATTGCCTAAAACAGTTTTGGGTAATGATCGCAACATTTCCTTCATGACAATGATCTGAAGCTTACAATTTAACAAGACAAACTACAACCTTGAGTTCTCGCATAATTTCTAACTTCAGAGCTGCACTGCCATTTACACATTCTATTTTGGATAACTATTGGATTGATGCACAACAAATTTCTAGATAAAACATCACCATTTGAATCATTCGTTCTCACACCAAGCATATCAATAATCATAAATTACAAATACGCATTAAATTTAGGATAACAGATAATCAGTCGGTTAATCCAAATCTCAAGCTATGGATAATTTATTCACTTGGGGGAAAAAATCACATGATAAGTTCTACTGCACGAGTTTAAAGCAACTAGTACTGTATGTCAAACATATAATACCTCATTAACTATTATGAGATGGAATAGATTAGGATAAGATGACAATTCAGATATTATTGTTATTTGTCAGATTACATTGGAACCCAAGAAGAAGTACCTAGCTCAAGAGTGATAGCAAGAGCCTGATCAACACTTGGGACCCACTCCTCTACATGTAGCTTATGAGCAAGACTACCCAACTCATAGAATTCAAAAAAGAACATGTAATTGGGTGGCTTCGCGTGAGCTGCAATCAACCTCCCGAGTCCTGGATGATCCAGTTTGCTTCATGAAGATAATACATGGAACAGCAATAATATAAAAAAATTACAAGAACCGAAAATACCAACTTTTTATAAAGATGTAGTAGTCAAAATTGTGCTTTGGAAAATACATCAAGTCAATATGTTACAACAAATGAATACAGCAGAATTAGTTCGAACAATTGTATAAGTGAATTTGCAAATTACAACCTTTTCAAAACTAAATTGCAATTTTTGTGATTGTTGATTCTAGTTTTCTAAATTAAATCATAATTCATAGTTACATCATTATAACAAAGCCAATTAAAAAATCAATCAATAAAATTATATAAGTAAAAAATCATCAGAGACTAACCATAACAACTGCAATTGTTTATGAAATCTATCAATATCATCAGAAGTTGACAAAATGGGCTTCTTAATTGCAACTTTCTGACCATCCAAACTTCCTTCATATACAACACTCTCACTCCCTGCAATTCAGAAAAAAAATACCCAGAATCAGAATTCCACAAAAACACCCAGAATAGAAAAAAAAAATGCTGGAAAGTTAATGGAAATTACACACACCTCGAGCAATTGGGGAGGAGAGAGAAAATGAAGAAGGTGGGAGATGAAGAGGGATGGATTTACTGTGACAACACCCTCGAATGCAAGTGTTTGGCTCGATGATTTCTAACCCCATTGGGGTTGTTTGCTGTTCTTCTCTTTGGCGCTCTCTTTGTTTCTCTCTTGTTTATGTTGATGAATTAGTGTGTGCAAATGCATATTTCTGGGGTGGAAGGGAGTAACACGATAGACGATATCCATTTGTGCATTTGAGAATTAATCTAGTATAGCTGTATAGACCCGGTTCACAACTTGCGATTAATATAGACTCGGATTTGGTTTTGTAAAAAATTGTGTTTCGAGGAGGTTAAAATTATGCTTCTACTTATTTTTATGAAAGCTGCCTAGACAATTTATGGTGTACGTGTATGTGCTAATGCACGGGTTATAACTAATACGGAATAAAAGGGACGGGTTACAACTAATACGGAATAAAAGGGTAAAAAATTTATCTTAAAAACTGCAAAGGGTTTTGTCGCCGAAAAACACAAAATGTGGTAAGAAGGATATGTTTGGGTATTTTTTTTTCACCTAATTTGTTTCCAAAATGTTGAATTTGTGAATGTTGGAGAGATTCAATGTAATACTTCCACTATAAATCTAGGGGGTTACTAAATGGCACAATAGAATTACTTAGGGTGCGGTATTAAATGACTCATCTACCCTTATAAATTTCATGTTTGACATCATTCAATTTTTCTCACCAACCATACTTCTTCCACCACCATCACCCTAAACACCATCACCACCACCACCCTAAGGTCGCCAGGACCATCACCCTAAACATCACCACCACCACCCTAAGGTCGCCAGGACCATCACCCTAAACATCACCACCACCCTAAGGTCGCCAGAATCATCCAATTTGTCACTATCTATCACACCAAATCAACCACTGATCATACCAAATAAACCGGAAAAAGGAAGAGGTTGACGACAATGGCATCGCGACGTGTGAAAGGGGGTTCGTTTGCCGGGAAACGTGGGGAAAACGCTGGCCAATTCATCGGTAAGTTTTTTTTTTATTTTTTATTTTCGCATAGATTCGTATAGTCGCGTGCTATATGCGACTCCACCACGGCACAATCGCATATAGCGTGCGATTATGCCACTGTACAGTCGCATATAACACGTGACTCTACCACGGTGTAGTCGCATGCTATATGCGACTCCACCATGGTGTAGTCGCATTTGACATGCAACTATGCCGTGGTGGAATCCTATATAGCATGCGACTATGGTTTTTGGTTTTTGAATTTTGAAATTGAATTTAAATTTCGAATTATGGTTGTAATTTGTTTTTTTTAAAAAAAAAAAAATTTCGAATTAGCATCAATAAATTAATTTCGAATATGTGATTAAATTAGTAATGTAATTTGAATTATGGTTAATTTTTTTTTAAAATTCCAATGTGAATTTAATTTTGTCAAGGTGGAGTCGTGGTGTATGATGATCAAGGTAGAGTCATGGTGGACCAGTCAAGGTGGAGTCGTGGTGGTGGACCAGTTAAGGTGAGTGGGTGGTATGGGTGGTGGAGCTAATGTTCAAGGTGGAGCTAAGGCTTGACTATGGTCAAGGCAGTACAAAGTTAAATTAGTAGTTAATAATGGTTGGATTGTTATGTAATATTCAAAATTATAAGGGGCATAGAAATCTTTTAATACCATAGTTTGAGTAATTTCATTGTGGCAAATAGCAATTCACTAAATCTGTTCTCCTCTAAACAAAGCTTGAGAAAATTGGTCTCAAATGGTGAAATTTTGTCAAATTTGTGAGAAAATGGATTGGAGGTGGTAGACGGAGTGTGTAGTGTAAAGTGCAACAAAGAGAAAGAAGAGTGAAGGAAAAAGAGAATGCATTCAGGCGATTTTGGGCAAAAAATTGAATAGGGGGTTAATTGACAAGTTTATAAAACTATTTTGATTGCAATTTACAATTTTTTATTTTAGAAGAATGCAATTGACATAGTTAATAGTTTGGTACTTTAAAAAATTGTATTTGGCAAAATTTCCAACTTTAAGATGCCAACTAATTTTTGAATCATAATACAAACCAAAAAAGGTTTCGAATATGGTTGGCTGTGGTGAGCTAGCCGCCCTAGTTTTTTTTCGTAAAAAGTTTTGGTACGAGTACTTGTAAGTACGGCTGTTCATCAGTCAAAGACCGAACCAGACCAGACTAGGACTTGACCAAAGACCGAAAATTAGAATTTTAAGAACAAAATATCGGACTGATTAATCAAGGACTAACTCCGGACCAGACCGAAAGAATCGTTCCAAAACCTGGATCGGATCGCTTTGGACCGATTTAAGTTTTTTTTATATAAAAATTCTAATTTTTTATTAATTTTTTTGGAAAACTTGAAAAAGTAATGGAAAATCTACCCTTTAATCTTTTTTTTTTTGTTGTTGTATATTTAGGACAAAAAGTTCATAATTTAAAGTTTTTTAAACTCATTAAGATAATCTTAACCATTATTTAAAGTTTCACATATTTTTTTAATAAAATTAGACCGATTTTTATAGGATTTTCAAATAGAACGAACTGAAGGCCAGAAAATAAATTTCTAGACCCGAAGACCGGTCCGGGGTCGGTCTGGACCGATTAACACCCCTACTAGTTGTAACTCTCGTAGTCTCGTCTCTCGTAAAGTGATATGCTTACCGAGTTTACCCTCGTCTCCCTGCAGAAGAGAGTTGAAGGCAACCTCAAACGTAAACCCGCCTCCTTTTTTACAACACTCTGCTATTACACCATCTTCGATTTCTGCAACTCTCTCTCTCTCTTCCATTCTCACCATATTCAACTCCCAAAAACTACATTCTTTTCCCACTGAGAAAGCTTATTAGGGTTTATCTAGGGTTTTAGCTTCAATGGGGAACGAAGAACAGTCTCACAAATCTCACAGGTTTCGGCAAGCTGGTCCCAAAAAATTGGCTAAAAAAAACAAGAAGGCAGCGGGAGATGATGGTTTTGATGATACCAAGAAAAACCCAACTCGAAACCCTAAGGTTTATTGATTATTGCATTTGAATTCCTTTTTAATTTTCGTGAAATTTTGTTTTTTGGGGGTGTAAATTGATACTGATATAGGTTTGAAATTGTAAATTTTGTTCTTGTTAAGATGTTGCATTTTGATATTGATATTGATATTGATATTGGTTCTTACTGTAAAATTTGTTTAATTGGGATTATTAGGCATTTGCTTTCCGTTCAAATGTGAAAGCAAAGCGTTTACAGTCGCGCTCAACAGAGAAAGAGCAGCGGAAGCTTCACATTCCGACGATAGACCGCAATATCGGCGATCCCCCGCCTTTTGTTGTTGTAGTTCATGGCCCTCCTCAGGTGGGGTTTTGATATATTTGACTAGATGAATTTTAATTTGTGTTAATGTGTTTGATAATTGGGGGTTGATATTGTTGCTGACTTTTTTGTGTTGTAATTTTGTTGTAGGTAGGGAAATCTTTGCTGATTAAGTGTCTTGTGAAACATTACACCAGGCACAATTTGCCTGATGTTCGGGGTCCAATTACCATCGTATCAGGTTTGCTCGATTCACAGTTGCTTAAATTCCATGTCTAATTTATGAGGCAATATGTTTCAAGTTTGTTTGTCTTCATTTAGGTGTTTGTTTGAATGGTGATGTTTTTGATAGGATTTAGCTTCAAAAATGAAATATTGAAGACTATGGATTTCTTGAAATGGATTAAAATATGGTGCCTTCTTATTATAGGTAAACAAAGACGTCTTCAGTTTGTGGAGTGCCCTAATGAAATAAATGCCATGATTGACTGTGCGAAATTTGCTGATTTGGCTCTGCTTCTAATTGACGGGAGTTATGGCTTTGAAATGGTGAGTTTTTGTTCCTTTTTCTACAAAATAGGCTTTCCTTCAGATGTTATTCTCAATTGAAATTACAGGGGTGTTGTCTTTAGAAAACTATCTAATGGCAAAGCTAAGAATTCCAAGTGAATCATATCTACTTCTTTGCCATGCAAGTATTTATTTGTTTGATTTAGCTTAGTTTTTCGTTATTTTTATCCAAACTAGTCAATTGTAAGTATCTGATTTTTTATTGCTCTTAGGAAACATTTGAATTTCTCAATGTCATGCAAGTTCATGGATTTCCGAAAGTTATGGGAGTCCTTACACACCTTGATAAGTTCAAGGATGTAAAGAGATTAAGAAAGACAAAGCAGCGTCTCAAACATCGTTTTTGGACTGAAATATACGATGGAGCCAAATTATTTTACTTATCTGGTCTTATTCATGAGAAGTGAGTACCATTTATTTGTTATTGCCTTTCTTAGATCTTATTTGTTTAATTGCGTTGGGTCTTTTCTAAATTGTATCTACCAAATGCAGGTACAATAAGCGTGAAATCCATAATCTTGCAAGATTCATCTCTGTTATGAAATTTCATCCATTGTCTTGGCGAACTGCTCATCCTTATGTGCTAGCAGACCGTTTTGAAGATGTCACTCCACCGGAGAGAGTGCAGCTAGACAAGAAATGTGACAGGAATGTCACAGTTTATGGTTATTTGCGGGGTTGTAATTTGAAGAAGGGAACTAAAGTAGGTGACTTTGAATTTTTTTTCTTGAATATGACATGCCAAAACACATCTGGGTTTTATTCGTTATCATCAATTTATATAAATCTAAATCAAATGATTTTTCTCTTTAGGTTCACATTGCTGGTGTTGGTGATTATAACCTGGCCAGCATTACAAGCTTGGCTGATCCATGTCCTTTACCATCAGCTGCTAAAAAGAAAGGATTGCGTGACAAGGAAAAATTATTTTATGCTCCTATGTCTGGTGTTGGCGACCTCCTTTATGATAAAGATGCTGTCTATATAAACATAAACGACCACTTTGTACAATATTCTAAAGGAGCTGATGAAAATGAGAGCACTGCACGTAAAGGTCTGCTCTTTAGTTGCTGTTTTTTCCCTTCTCATTGCTATCAATGTTTATTATTTTGTTGTTGCTTTGCCAAACTTCTGTGTCTTCTGATTTCTTCAACCATACCCTGTGTAACTAGGAAAACGCCATGATGTTGGTGAGGAGTTGGTAAAACAGCTTCAGAATGTGAAGTATTCTATTGATGAGCAGTTACAAGAACGCTTCATCAATCTTTTTAGCCAGAAACAAGATAAAAGTGATGCTGATGTTCCTGTTGCCGGAGGTCGGATTCATGAACATGATGATGCTGCTGGATCTGACAAAGAAAGTTCAGATTCTTCAGATGACGATACAGATGCTGAAGAAAATAACAATATGATGAATCTGGGAGATGGGTCTAGTGATGCTAAAAAGGAATTGGGGAAAAACTTCAAGGAACATGTTGAGTTTTCTGATGGTAGGATCAGAAGGAAAGCGATATTTGGAAATAGCAATAATGATGCTGATGAAAAGGTATTTTGTTCTTAGCACGTTGTATTGTGATTAAGGTGATAAAATATGGGTTCATGTCATGATCTTCTATTTCCAAGTTGTCCTCCTTATATATGTTCTCCCCTATCTCTCCCTCTGGATTCTCTTCCTTGACGGCCTTTCATAAGAGAGTAAAATTATAAATTAGATTACACTACAGTTGACATTTGTAGTTCTAGTAACCTTATAAAATTAAAGATTTAAGGAGCTAGTAAATTTGCAAACTGTTCTCCTTAAGTAGGCTTTAATAATTTAAAGCAGCTTTCGCTATTACTTAATATTGTTACTTAGTATGTTTTTCAAGTTGTTTGTTTCTATGCTGATTTTTAAGGGGTAGGGAGCTGGTCAGGGTCCATGTTATTGTAAGGTTTTGAATCAGAAGTTTGATTATTGGTTTTAGCTTACTGTTCTTCTGGACTTCTGATACTATACCTGCACTCTTGTGTCTGTCAGGCATAAGCTCCTCTATAATGAAAGATTTAGAAATCTTGATTAATCTCTCTTGGAAGAATTTTCTTCCTCATTTGAAATTATTATTATTTGGTGTCAGTAAATTTCACAAGTGCTTATTGTCTTACCTTTTTTGTCTTGTCATATACGTAGTGAAAGGTTTCTCATTTCTTTATCACTTAGAGAAGCCTCCACTAGACTTTGGGATATCCAATGGTGAAATATATGATTAATGGTCACTAATATCCGTTACTCCTAAATTCGTTTCATCTATTTATCTAGACCATGAACTTTGGTATGTTAGGAAAGCCTGCAGTTATCCCCAATCAGCCATAAAAAAATGTGTTTTTTCTATTATATCATTTTTTTTCCCTATATTCGGTACAGTGGCATTATAATGACAATTTTGACACATGCAGAAATTTTAAATTATTTCTATCATTTTGTTTACTGCATAATGAAATGCCAACTTTGGATTTTGATGTATTCCAAATTCAGAATTCCATGTTTGCGTTTAATTTGTTCTTATCATATTTATTACTTTATCATACCTTTTTTTTACTCTTTAAGATGTTCCATATAGTTGATAGTTAAGAAGTCTTAGTAAATAAATTTTGTTTTTGGTGAACAAGTTAGCAGTTTAGCACACAAGTTTAGAGTTTCATCTTTAGAAAATTTGACTGCAGTATTCAGATGACGATGATGATGAAGAAGAAGATGATGACAGTGACGGGAAGGAGGAGGATGAAGTAGGAAGTTCCGGTACAGATCCTTCTGAAGATGATGGGCCTGATGAAGATATGGAAGGTAACCTTCATTGATCTTAGAATAGAAAGATTTAGAATCTTATGGTGATACTTTCTAGATGGTTATCAAGCATGGGCCATTGAATCTGTGATAACTTTGATATTTTTACTATTCTTTATAAGAGCTGTAGATCTTTCGATCTGTTGCCTACTTCTATCCCTTTTTTCTGGGCCAAACGTAGAATTGTTTTTTATTGTTCTTTCATGAGTTCAGATCAATGCAATTTGCCAAGAATACCAAATTACCAACTTCTATAAAAGGAAAAATAATGCAATTACATACAAGGTTCAATAATTATTTTTGCAGAGGAAGATGTTAGGTTGGGGCCTCTAGAGTTGTAATAAGTGTCATCTTTGCTTGGATACATAGATAAAGAAATTTTCATGCATGTCGTTGGTTTTGATTAATAAATAGGAGTTGTTACATAATGTTATATAGTGGAAGCTTGTGTTTGAAATTGGTTTGATCTTTGGTACTAATAGTAGTTACTGAAATTTGGAAATGCCCTTTTAGGTTTTGAAAAAGACTTTCTTTCTCCAGTGATAAAATGAGTAAAAGGCCTGGAAAGAATACCTCCATGGACATGGACATAAAAGGGCATTCGTTTCTACTGAAAGTATACTTTGCATCATTAATCGTTTTCATTCTCAGAGCAGGGGAATTTTATGCCCAAACCCCTACAGTGATCAGAGTTGAATGCCTGAGAAATAGAGCCCATTGTCAAGTCAAATGCTAGAGTGTGAGTTTGCTGGAATATTCTTTCCACCAAGCCCTTGGTCCTACATGTACACCCTCTGTACCACTAATAATGTCCCATATTCCTATTTTAGATGTCCCATTGAGTTTTTTCCATTCCCCTTACAGTGTATTTCCTCAGTCAACAACCCCACAGCAACAGCTTTAAAGCGTTTGTTCCAAAAGGATTTAGGGTCAGTTAACATGAACCATCATTCCAAACCGTCTGTGAAAAGTGTAGCAAAGAATTTTAGCTAAAAAATTAGAGTAATGTGTAGAGTGCAAAAGTGAAAGTAGGGCAAGATAGATCAGATAGAACACAAAGAATTTAAAAAAACAGAGGGTGACGGATAAAGCTCAAAAAGTAAGGTATAAAAATTATTGCAAGTAGAATCAGGCAATCAACAACTCTTCATGCTTTCAAGTGAACAAACTTTCTAAAAAAGTGATGTAGGGGATATGGGGCAATCTTTGTCATTTAGTGGGATGGAGGGAGTATCTTGAAAAGAGAGAAAGATGGTGCCCAAAGAGACAAGATTATGTCAAGAGGTGTTGCATATTATTAGTTAAATTTAGGACAAATCCTACATGACCTAAATAACTAGATCTTAATAAAATTTACCAAAGAATTGTTTTTTTATTATATATATATATATATATAGATATTTTACCCTCATTTAAAAAATTAAAACACAATTACTAACTATAATCAAATTTAATTAATCACTAATTCTCACCCAATTTTCACCCCAACCAACCCAATCTAATTCATCAACTCTTCATCTTCAATTTAAGAAACCCAAAGCCATCTTCATCATCTTCTTTCCTCATATTTTCTCTCTCCTCTTTCAATCAAATTATCTCTTTGAATTTTTTATAGATCTTTTTTCTCTCTCTTCAACTTCAATAATTTCGTAGGATTTCTGGGATTCTAGGGTGGTTTTTGTTTGGGATTTCGTAGGGCTTTCGCGGTGGGATTTCATCTGGATTTCGTGGTGGTATTTCGTGAGAATGGCGGTTTCATGGGGTTGGTAGTGGTGGTGGTTTCGTGGGGGTTCATCTTCATCATCATCTTCCCCCATATTTTCTCTCCCCTCTTTCAATCTCATTATCTTTTACATCTTTTTTAGATCTTCTTTCTCTCTCTTCAACTTTCAAGAACTTTGTAGTGGGTTTCATGGGTTTGAGATCTTTCTCTTTCTTCAACTTTCAAAAAATTCAATTTGTAATGCGTTTGTCGAATTGGTGGGGATGATTTTGTGGGTTTGGTTTTTCGTGGGGGTGGGTTTTGTATAGGTGGGTTTAATTGGGGGTGGTGGTGGTTTCGTGGGAAGTAGTGGTGAGGGTTTCTTGGGAGTGTTGGTGGTGGGTTTTGTGGGAAGTTGTGGTGGGTTTTGTGGGGAGTGGTGGTGGTTTCGTGGGGGTGGTAGTGTTGGCAGTGAAGCCGGCGGTGGTGTTGATGAAGGCGGTATGGATGGTGTTGCTGGTCTTGGTGGTGGCAGTGGGTGGTTGATTAATTATCCAAACATTCTCTCTCTACCTTAATTACATACCCTTAGAATACATCAATCACCTTTATCAAATTTTGCACTGGCGACCGTGTCAAGCCCCAAAGTTGCACATAACTATTAACGGAGGTAGTACAATAAATAAAAATCTCTAAAGAAGGGTATTGAGTATTGCGTTAACCTGATCATCTATAAGTCTGCATAAAATTCTGGTAGACTTCTTTTGCCTTTGTGTTCTAAAGCTGTTAGCTGGTCTAACCCGTCTATTTCTTACATACCTAGAAGCTTCTGCCTGACTATTGCAGTATGCAAGATGATACTGACTTCTCCGAGCCAGCTCCGTGCTTGTTTCTGATTTAGGCTTTGTTCTCTTTGCCTGAAATAAGATGTTCTGGTCTGTATCTTCTAAAATCTGGGTCTGATCGGATTGTCTAATTTGACTAAACTTTGACCTTAATGTAAATGAAAAAACATTATCAAGTGAGATCTTGTTAGATTTTTTTAACATTTATTTTTCAAATATATAATTTTCATAATTTTTACAAATAAGATATTATTGATATATGACAGTAACCAGACAAAATTAAGAAGATCTGATCTAGTCTGGTATGAAATTTCATGATCTAGTCTGATTTAAACAAGAATAAGTATTAGTTATTTTAGATTGAGGTGAAGAGAACAAAGTGTAGTCATATTAGTCCTTTTTTTACAAAAAATTGTTCCAGTATGCTTTTGGCTAGTGCATCTATTTCTTTGATTCTAGTATTTATTTATTTGGGGGGTGGGGCCGTGGGGGTGGGAGTGGTGGTGTATTAGTACGTGTGCATCTACTACATTGCCATGCTTGTGTCTTGTGCATGTATATAGATATATCAATACATGTTTGGGTATTCTTGTGGCTTGTCCATGTTATTTCTTAGGATTTTGTTTATTTGTTTGATTTGGAGGTGGGGACTGGGTGTGGGTGGGGCGCTGTTGGTACGTGAACATCTACTACATTTGCCATCTAAGAACATCATCTCATACATATTTATTTGAGAAGTGGGGTGAGGTGGGGCAAAGGGAAGTGATTTATTGTTCTACATTTATGAAAATTGTCTTCAGATAGAACTGATTTTGAGTCCATCTAGTCATGAGAAAGGAGTCCCCCATTCATATGTTTCATTAATACCCAAATTCCCAATCTTATGCTGTGATCTCTCTTCTAACTCTTCTCCTTCTATGTGCTAGTGGACGAAGATATTGGAAATGCCTCCAAATGGAAAGATTCTTTGTTGGAACGAACAGTGTCCCGACAGAATATGAATCTCATGCAAATTGTATATGGAAAACCCATACCAAATCTTGCATCTGATATAGGTGAATCACAAGGAAGCAGTGATGATGAAAGTGAAGATGATGACTTCTTCAAACCGAAGGGAGAGGGAGCCAAGGTTTGTGGCTGACATCTTTCAAATTTAGATTTTCAAGTAGACATCTCATACTTATAATTGTAACTAAATTAGTATTGAACTATGAGTCAATTAGAAAGAGTACTTTAGTGAATTGGTGATTTACTTCTATCTTACCTGATTAATATCAAATGCCTGAATCTGATGTATCTGTTCACTTTTTGAGCAATAGAAGTTGACAGATGGTCTGGGTGCTGGTGATGTGAATGGTGATGATTGTTCAAAATCCACGAGTAATATGGATGCCAAGAATTGGAATGATGATGATGTTGTTCAAAGCATCCGAGACCGTTTTGTTACCGGTGATTGGTCAAAAGCAGCCCAAAGAGCTACGGTGTCTGAGACTGGCGGCAGTGGTGATGGTGATGATGATGTCTATGGTGATTTTGAAGATTTAGAAACAGGTGAAGAGGGTGGTGTAGCTGTAAAAGCTGGTGAGGCACAGAAAGAAGATGATGCAATAATTGCAGAACGCAAGCTGAAAAAGCTTGCTCTTCGTGCAAAGTTTAATTCCCAATATCCTTTTCAAAATGTTTATGTCTTAATCACCTACATTTACTTCTCAATTTAACTTTCCACACATTCACACACAAACATCCTCCCTTGTGGAAAAACAACGGTTTGTACTGATCTTTTCTGCCAAATGAGTTGACAAAATGAGGCTTGTCTCTCCAGTCTTTACTTGTTCTAGAACTGAGATAGGGTAGAGGAAAGAAGGAAGCAGATGCTGAAGATTAGTAGTCTGTATTTCTGTGTAGCTGTGTGGCATCTAATATGCATTATTAGTTTTATGTCTGTCATAATTTGTGGCTTCTGTAGCTAGTTAGATTTCAATCCTAATGTTTTCTATATCATCCCAGCATCAATATCTTTCTTCTATTCTCTACTTTGAATTAGATTAGCGATTGAAAAATATATATTCTAAGTATTTTTTTTTGTTTGTTTACCTTAATCAAGTATTACATTTAATAAATCTGAGTTACCTGATGGAGAAACTGGTGAAGAAGCTGAGGCAAAATCTGATCGCAGCAAGGCCAATGATAGTGGGTTTATTGAGAAGGTGGAAATGATGGCCTTCTATTGAATTTGATTTTGAATTTGAGCACTTATTTTTATTTTTTTTATTTTATTTTTTTTATAAAAAAAACTGTTACTTCATGTTTGTGTATGCAGTTAAGAGATGAAATTGAACTTCAAAAGCAAATAAATTTAGCTGAGCTCAATGATCTGGATGAAGCCACTAGGATAGAAATAGAGGGCTTTAGAACAGGGACATATTTGAGATTGGAAATTCAAGCCGTTCCTTGTGAGATGGTTGAGTTTTTTGACCCCTCACACCCTATCCTAGTTGGAGGAATTAGCCTTGCGGAAGAGAATGTTGGATACATGCAGGTATGTATTCCATTTCTGTGCTTTGTTTTGGTTCCATCCTTGAATTATTTGTAAATATGTATTTAAAGTACTACCTCCGTTTCTTATTAGTTGCAACTTTGGGGTATTATTTGTGAGATATAAAATATTCCAAAGTTGCAACTAATACGAAACGGAGGTAGTACATAATTAACGTATGTCTGCACGGCTGCACCTTTGTTGCACTACATATTTATTCTATATCTCTGTGATATAATGTTTTTTTGGTTTTTTTTTGTTTTTTTTTTGTTTTGTTTTGTTTTTTTTTTTTTTTGTTTTTGTTTTTGTTTTGTTTTTTTTTTTTTTTATCATGAGCATGGCCTATCTTATTGAATCTAGATGCAGTTTCTCGAAATCTTTGATCTTAACAGTGGATGCAGATGATTACACTTTCTTATTACTGTCTCTTGCAGGTCAGGTTAAAACGACATAGATGGCATAAGAAAGTTCTTAAGACTAGGGATCCTATAATTGTATCTATGGGATGGAGGCGCTACCAGACAATACCTGTTTATGCAATTGAGGATCGTGATGGTCGGGTCCGTATGCTCAAGTACACCCCTGAGCACATGCACTGCCTTGCAATGTTTTATGGTCCTCTTGCTCCCCCGAACACTGGAGTTGTTGCTGTACAGAATCTAACGAACAATCAGGTTAGATTCATTTTGGCAAATTTGATTAATGGTTGGGTATCAAATTTGTATTTGGCAAGAGGTGTGGGGTTGGGGGTCAGGGGGTCGGGGAGGGTAATATATGCCCACTTTTGTGGGGCCAGTGGGAGATAATTATGAACAATGCATGTTTGCATGGGATTAGCTTCTTCTAAACACATAATTTGTACCTGATTTGTATGAACCAACACCCCGAGTGCCTAGCTACCTCAGTGTATTAGATAATGCACTGTATACGCTATATCATGTGTCCCTACTGTGTGTTGAAATTTGCATATCCTATACATCAGGCTGCCTATATTTTTAAAAATTATTTATTGGCCGTCATGTGAACCTCACTAGTCACCACTCTATGACAACTTGTTAAGTTCTTACCTTTGAAGTATATATAGTTTTGTTTTCGAATATATTAATTTTTGCAGTTTGGTTTGTTGATCATATTTCTTGTAACACTTGCTGTTGGTGAGACATTTCTATTTCTCTTTATATTATTCTATCTGACTTATTTTACTTGAACTCATTTTTTTTGAACTCATTTTTTTTGAACTTATATTGTTCGTGAATCAAATTGTCTTAAGAAATTTAGTTTGTATTAAGTTGTCTACTATAAATTTATTTTGTATGAACTTATTTTGTTCAATCTTATCCTTGAAATAAGTCGAACAAATCAGAGTCTATGGTTCTGTTTGGCCAAACTTTTAGAAAACTGTTCTACTTTTTAAAAGTAGCTTTCCTGATTAGTTAATAAATTTGTTTGGCCACCGAATTTCAATTTTTTTTATTAAGAAAAAGAAGTAAATTGGTATGGTTTAGATGTTATTCTTTTTTTTTTAATACATATTTTATGGTGCAAATTGACCCATTGTTTATGTCTAAGTATCTAAGACATAAAGAATAGTTGTTTGAAACCACTTGAAATGTGTATGAACATGAGTTGCTATAAGCTTGTGAGCAACTCAATAATATATTTTATTAATATACAATTTAAAGAAAAAGGAATTGATGCTTACATTTTTTTTTTAAATGTGAAGTAAAAAAAGAATTCCGAAAGGACCAAAACTTTAATGAGCAAATCGTGAGCTAATAGACTAGCCTCGACTCCAAACTTTTATGGGCTTGAGTCAAGCAAGGCCTTTTTGAGCTTAGTGAGTAGCGATCACATGTAAAAAGTTTTTGATTCCAGTCAAGCCCCTCAGCTCGTGATTGACTCGCTCGATTAGTTGCCTCTACACTTAAGCGCAAAGTTGTTTTTGTTTTTGTTTTGTTTTTTTTAAAAAATAATCTGTATTGAAAAACTAACTATTTGAAGAATGAATGTTACAAATACGAGCATATAATCTAGCTTTACGCTTTACACATGAAAATGGTGGAGGTTTTGGACAATAGTTGTTAGAGAGGATGAGTTTTATATATAATTAGCTTTAGATTATACAATTTTAAAAGGTCAGTATAGTAAATATTTTGTTTAATCCTCAATTTATTTCTTCTATCATGCCAAAAAAGATATAAATATTGAGTCCTCTATCCCTATCCCCAGCTCATTCTAAACATCCTAACCCTGTTAGTGCTATTCCAAATGATGGTTGGTGCTATTCCAAATTTGATAGTTGGTGCTCATCAGAAAATTGCCTTCAAAATTAAGTGTAGCAGCATCAGAAATTGCCTTCAAAATTTCTTCTATCATGCTTGATGATGTTTATTATTTATTTCGTGCTCTAATTTCTTCTCCTTGTTCTATGAAATTTCTCAGTCATCATTTAGAATCACAGCAACTGCTGTTGTATTAGAGTTCAACCATGCTGCCCAGATAAAGAAGAAAATAAAGTTTACTGGTGAACCTTGCAAGATCTACAAGAAAACAGCATATATCAAAAATATGTTTACTTCAGATCTTGAAATAGCCAAATATGAAGGTGTAGCAATTCGAACTGTCAGTGGAATTCGTGGACAAGTAAAAAAGGTAAGGGAATGAGGAATAAACTTAAGTAAATTGCGGTTGGTATTAGTCTTTGTAGTAGTTAACAATTGAGTTTCTTTTCTTGTTTATTTGGGCTTTAGCTATTTCTTTTATATTTATTGTGGAGCTGCCTGCCATGTTATAAGACTTATAACTAGTCAGGCATAAAATGAAATTGAACTTCTCATCTTCTACTTTATATTTCTCATTGGTTGTTTTATTCCTATTTCCACCCCCTCGATATTCTTTTTGATTCTTAACAAAGCTGGGTGGGGTCAGGAACTGGGATGGTGGCAGGAGAATAAACTCCTGGAACAAGCAAAGGCAGACATAATATTAATGGAATACTGTTTTGTGATAGTTGGTGCCTCTTAATTAAGGTTATATTTGATTTAGATTTGTGCACGGGCAGTTCTTCTGATATGAGAGGCTGTATGATTTGGCAGGCTGCAAAAGAAGTGATTGGCAATAAATCAAAGAACGATGACATCCCGTCAAAGGGAGGGATTGCAAGGTGCACATTTGAGGACAAGATCCTTATGAGTGATGTAGTATTCTTCACAACATGGGTTAATGTGGACGTTCCAAAATTTTTTAATCCATTGACAACAGCTTTGCAACCTCGTGATCGAGCTTGGAAAGGAATGAAAACTGTTGCAGAATTGAGGAGAGAACTGGCTCTTCCAGTTCCTGTCAATAAGGATTCTCTGTACAAGGTAGGGTAAACACACAGTTTCTTTTTCTTCTAGCTTCAAGAAATTCTTGTACAATCTTTTTATATTTGGTTGTATGCGTGTATCTAATTAGAATTTTCACGTCTTTATGTATATTTTTCACAGCCAATTGAGAGACAACCGAAGAAATTCAATCCACTGATCATTCCCAAGTCTCTGCAACAAGCACTCCCGTTCAAAACAAAGCCCAAAGATATTCCTAAAAGAGTTAATGGACTTCTTAAAGATAGGAGACCTGTTATCGCAGAACCTGATGAGAAGAAAACCCTAAAGCTGGTTCAACACTATCAGCTGATTCGTCACAGCAAGGTATGCTTTACATTGATGGCCATGACAGTAGTACACATGCTTGTAGAGTTTTGCATCGTTTTGTGCTAATATGAACTATAAATGTTATATCCTTTTGATTTACTCTTCTCGGACTGTCAGCAGCAGTAATTTTTGTCATTTATAAAAATGATCACAGTTTGGTATTTCTTCGCCTAGCTCCAAGCATTGTGTAGATGTTGCCAAAGGATTGATCTATTGACCTAAATTTACATAGGAAAATAAGACTGTTCCCGTGTTTGTGCTTGCATTGCTGGCCAAAGTAATCTTTTTGAATGGGCACAAGGTCTGTATTTGTGACATAGTTGGTCAATGATAAACTTCAGATGTTCGAGTATTTTTAGCATACTAAAGTTGTCAATGATAAACTGATTTTATTATTTTTAGTACGATGACTTGTGGACTTGAAGTTACTGAGCTAGCAAGAAAAGGTTTGGCAATATTAATCTATGATGCTGAAACAGTCTTGATTTGTGATGTTTGTTGGTGTGCAGGAAAAGAAGAGAAAACAAAAGGATGAAGAAAAGAGAAAAAAGTTGGAGGCTCAAAAGGCAAAAGAAGAGGTGGTGTCAAGAAAACGGCAGAGAGAGGAACGGCGAGAAAGATACCGTCAACAAGATAAACTAAGCAAGAGAGCACGCAAAACATCTGAAGACTAGATATATCTCTACAAATACTACCAGTTTTACATTTTCCAACCAGATTTATTTGGGAGTATTTCCTTGAACACTGAAGCGGTGAGTTTCAGAACTGCTTCCTACTCGTTAATCGTTTGCTTCCATTACACCATCTTCAGATGGAGAAGGACAGTACCAGTTAGAGGCAACTTGTGCTTTGTAGCCTTTAGAGAATGGTATTCTAGGAAAAATAGATAAATTTTGCTCTTGTTTTCTACCTGTAAGTAAAACAACAGGGCGTTTTTGTAATAGCCCTCTGTACTCTAGTATCACGATAATTCGTTCACTGCTTTATGTGGCTTTTCCGTTCAGTTTCATTTTATTATTTTTTTTTTCTTTTGGTGAGAAAACTAAGTTTTCAGCAGTTAGTGAACTAATTCCATACAAGTTTTTTCGTTTTTTTATTTAAAAAATAAATAGTTCTTTATATCAAAATTTGTTGGATAATCGGATACCCAATCAGTTTCTGTTGCGGTTCAAAAAAATGCAGATTGGAACCTGCGGATTCTTGCTTTTATTATGCGGAATTAAAACAGCTGAATTTATTTCTGATTTTAAAGCCTCAACAATTCAACATACCTGTAATTGGCTCCAATTCTTTTGCAAGTTTTTTTTTTTTTTAGGTTACCGAGATTGCTCATTAGCAACTATTGCACCTCACCACTTAGTCTTATGTAGTGTAAACTATAGAAGTATAGGGAGTAGTATAAATCCGATTATAATTCAATTATAATACGAAGTAGTTTTATAAATCATAACATCAAATCAAATCAGATCAGACTAAATTAAAATAGAAAAAATCCCATTAAACCGATCTTATTCGCAAGTTATTCACAAACGTATGCGCTATCGATATCTTTACCACCCCTACTAAAATACCTCTTCTCAAACGAAGCCAAAAAAAAGAATCGTTATTTGTTTTTGTCTTTTAGTAAGACTCACACTCCTCGCCATTTCCATCTTTCTCCTTGTTATACAGTACTGCACTACACTGTACACCCACTTAATTGGGCTCCAAGGCAACCAAAACTACTGTAAGAAAAAAGAAAAAAAAAATTACTCTTTTAATATATAAGAAATCCATTTTTTCTTTGTTGTATTTTCATTTTTCTAATGCTAAAAAAATCTGCAGTTTTTCTCACTCATCAATGAAGAGCTTCAAAATCATTCCATAAAATCAAGCTGAAGGTATCTCTCTTAACCACTTTTCTCTCTCCAACCCAGATTTTGAAATGTTGCAGAAATTTTACTTTTATATAAAAAAAAAATTATGTTTCATAGAATTTTCCAGCTGTTTGATTTGTGTTTTTGCTCCTTCTATAATGTTAAGCTTAAAATATTTTTGTGCAAAATACTTGAGTTTGGAATTGTTAAAATTTTCTTATAGTTTGGATTTTGTATTGATGCTCTGTTTTTGGCTAAAATATGAACTTGCTTGTGTTAAACCTGCTTGATTGTTGTTCTTGACGGACTCAAATTATATTCTAAGTGACTTAACCCACATTTTTCCAGATTCTGTGTATTTGAAGGTTATAGCTCAAATTTAAGGTTTTTTTTTTTTTTAAAAAAAAAAAATCAGCTTCCCAGAATTTTCTTCCCTTTTTTTTTTTGATATTTTGTTTTGTTTATTATTTTTTACTATGCTCTTGTTGTTGTTGATAATTTCCTGTGAAAATTTTTGGTTTAAAAGATCTGTGTATTTTTATTTTTTTTTTCTTTTTCATGTTGCTGAATGTATACATTTAAGTATTCCTTTTCAACCATACCAGATCTTTATTTAAAAGTATTTTTTTAAAATTTATAACAGATTTCTTGTACATTGTGTTCTTACTATTAAATTTTGTGATTTTGATCTGGGTGTCCATTTTTTTAAGGTAAAAAATCTAAACAAATACCCTTGCAATTCATGTTTATGTGTGATTGTGTGCTGTATCAAAGTAGTTTAAATTATGTATGGTATAATCTTTGTATTAGTAACATTAAATACATGTTTCAAAACCATTGATTTCAGGATAACAGTATTACCTGATTTTGGAGGAAGTCTGAAACAATTGTTGGTCAATATATTGTTCTTTGTCAAAAATGTCTGATGAAAAAACCCTTAAAATCCCTCCAGAAATCTGGTTGACAATCTGGCAAAAACTGCCAGTGAAAACTATAGGCCAATGTCTGTGTGTGTGCAAACCCTGGAACACTCTCATTACTTCCTCTTCTTTTGTGGCTGCCCACACCGAGAATTCCTCTCAAGTGGAGGGTAATTCTCTTCTCTTGTATAGGCAATTCACAAATGCTCCCAAGAAAAATGAAGAGTACATGTTTATGCTCGATTCATCCCAAAAAGAATCAGACCTTGAGCCTTGCTACACCTTAACTTGCCCCTTTGTAATTGGAGAAGTTGGGAATTATTTCCGTGTGGTTGGTACTGTTAATGGTCTGATATGTCTCTCTGATGATCTGTTTGGGTACACCTACCTTACAATCCTTTGGAATCCCTTGCTTCGCAAATACATCAGACTTCCTGTGCCAAGAGTGAATTATGTTGTTAAAGGTGCCCACATATCTTCTTTTGGCTTTGGGTATGATACTAGGAAGGCTTCTCACAAGGTGGTGAGAATAAGCTACATGCGCGAAAAAAATGCCATGTATGATGTGACTCCTCCTACTGTTGAGCTGTATTCGGTTAAGGAAGGTAGATGGAGGTACGTGCCTGCTGACAGTCTGGTTAATATTTGCATATGTGACTACTGGTGGTCTCAATGTTTTCTCAATGGCGCTGTTCACTGGGTTGCTTGGGAGAGGGATGCTAGTAACCTTGCTTTCAGCAGAAACTGGTTTCTGATTTTTGATGTGGAAGAAGAGAAGTTCAAGAAGATGAAATTGCCTGATGCTCTTGCCAAAGTATGCACATTAGATCTGAGTGTTGCAGAGTATTGCTCTAAGTTGTCGGTTCTTCACTCTGTACTCAAAGGAGGCGCAGTAGGGAATGAAATGGAACGTTGTGAGATCTGGGTCAAGGGAGAATATACTGTGGGGAGCTCATGGAGCAAAGTGGTTAGTATTGACATCAATTCAAGTGCTGGTTTAGGCTGGGTCCAGTGCTTGAGGAAAAATGGGGATGTTTTGGGGTTTTCCAAGAAAGGAGAGCTAGTGTCCTATGATCCACTGATGGAAAGGACTAAGGGCCTTGGTGTTCGTGGGTGTTGGCGCTCCTGGTTCACCTGTTCATTTACGGAGAGTCTCATTTTGCTGGACAGAAAGAAAGGTGTAGGTACTTATGACAAGACTGGAGGGAAGAAGAAGAAGTAAGTTTAAAAATATATTTTTTAGACAGATTGCTATGCTTTTCCTAGTGTATTTTTTTCTGTGACAAGTTTACTATATAATTTTGTTGGGTCTAATGAGTGGCAGACCTGGCAGTGCATAATACGATCATTGATTCTTAACTCACAGAATCATAGGTCATTGTTGTCTGGTTGCTTTTAGCCTCAAGTTTGGAAAAATTTATGACATATCTGTTGCAATATTGTTTTGTCTATAGATTTAAAACGGTTTTCTCCAATGGCATGCTGGACATGGAAGAAATAGAGGTTGATGGAAGCAGTGTAGGTGAAAAAGACCAGTCTTCAGGACAATGTAACTCTGTGTAAGTCCTTAATTCCTTGCTGTTAGCAAAATCACTGGGGATTTTCACTCAGACTCTGATTTGTTTCATACAGTTTGCTTATACCTTATATCTCTACAATTTCCTTATGTCTCACTGTCTCAGTGTTTTTATATTATATGATTACTGAGCAAACTTATAGCTCTATTGCTTCTATTTGACCCCTAAAACAATCTTGTAACACAAAATCATTTTGCTTTTGTTCTGCATAATATTTATCATTGTCCAATTTATGACTAAGCTTATCTTTTTTATTTCAAAATGTCTTTTTTGGGTCCACAATGTCACCACCTTCAAGTGAGACTGAAGATCTGATTATCTCTTAGGGGTTGGTTTAACTTTCCAACTATGTTTAAATGGCTGTAAAGGTTATATAAATTTTAAGGCTACCCAGATTCACTTTGTAGTTGACAGTGAAATGGAGTGTCTTGATTGGATTCAACTAATTTTTCTGGCTACCAATCCCAAACCGAATACTGTCTCTGCTTGATAGCATCAAACAGATACAATGAAATACTTAAATACATAAATTAAGTTAATGTATAATAATCATATCATTCATATGTATAATAATCATATCATTCATCTATACATCATCATTCATTCATCTATACATCATCAGTTAATGTATAATAATCATATCATTCATATGTATATGCATTCTTACATGTTCAATCATATCATTTAGGTTTTCTGGTTGGTCCAATGACTTGTGAACTCATAGACCCAAGTCTTATTGGCTTTACATAGTGACACATAGTACTCATTTGTAATACACAATAAGGCTTTCTGTGCTGCATCTTCAGATCTCACAAAGAGTATTTGCTCCAGCGAAATAAGGTTAAACAACATCATACTGATCAATTTTAACAATGATAATATCAGGTTTTTAGTGCCAGTAGTTTAGTCAAATTACATGCAAAACCTCCTATCTGTATGTCTGCTTCTTGTAGCTTCAATAATAGTGAGAAGTATCTGAATTAATCGTGATTTGTAATGATGCTGTTGAGAAACTATGATCATTTTTCGTCACTTTTGCAGTTATCATCAGGGAAAGTTCGTATTACTGGAGCAGCTGAGTAAATTTGATGGAACTAGCATTACAAGAGATCCCTCGGAGTATATGTCTATGGCTGGTTTTGAATTTTCTGAGTTCATGTCAATGGCTGAGTCCGTGGCTTGGTCTATGTCCATCGGTATAGTTTCATATCCTCATCTGTGATGGTTAACAGTTATATGAACTTGATCTTTATTTTTTTTGAGTGATGTTATGTGGGAGGGGTGTACTATACCCCTTTTATACTAAGTTCATGAGGATCCTTTAGATGTAATCATGTGTCAAGCGATATTCACTCACTGGCCTTCTCAGGTACCGGTCTACTCCTTTCCTAGAACCAGGAACGATATCTGCTCTATTAGACAGGCCAAACTCAGAAAACCATTCCATGAATTTTTTTGACATGTATTTGATAATATTTTTCATTCGTGAATTTAAACGTCAATGCATGTTTCAACACATGCTATGTTGTTGCTCATTAATCTTTTCATGTGTGATTCCAATATTATGCAGGTCATGGCTGAAGCTCCTCAGATTCAAGCCTTCAATCTGCAGCTGCAAATTTGTTCTTTGGCTGTCATTTTCGAAATGCTAACACTATGTTTGCACTCTAGTTAAGCTTAAGGAGAAACAATTATAAACTTCTAGCTTTTTTGGAACATGGATTTGGAAACTGTGGTTCTTTCAAGTTTAAGTTGCCTGTAATTAACTATAATCCGACTTTTGTGTACTGTGTCCTTCCTTATGAAAGGTTACTGTTTTACGCGCTAATTACTCAAGCCTGAGCAGCAGAAATTGTTAATAGGTTTTGCAAGAAGTATGATAGTGATTAGAAATGTACGAAAAAGAGTATTTGTTCAGTAAGATTGAATCGTGGTGCAACCGTTGTATAAAATTTTTCCGGCTAAAGTGATGCACTAAACCACTTGGAAGTAAATCATAACAAGGTGAAACTCCTGTTTCTCTTGTACCCAGAAACTACACATGGTAAAAATACAAAAATATATAGTGACCTTGCATTATTTCTTTTCCTTACTTCTTTTAATAAACTCAGGTATGCAAACTACAAATGCTACGAAAATTACACATCCACTGGTACACGTTTATACAAGTGCTCTGCTGGTAACCTTGGCGAAAATATAGCTTGTAGAGGGGTGCTCATGTAGGTGACAATTCCGGGGGCTTCCTTCATTTCAATCTCCTCATCATTTGGTGGTTTCCAATCGAAATGATGCAAGAGATGACCCAACATTGATGTGACCAAATTTATGCCTAGTTGTGTTCCCGGGCAGATACGTCTACCTGCACCAAAGGGAAGTAACCGGAAATCATGACCCTTCATGTCGATATCCTCTTCAAAGAACCGTTCTGGCCTGAACTCTTGAGGATCGCGCCAAGCATTGGGGTCACGGCCCAAACCCCAAACATTTACGTAGACAATCGAGCCCTTAGGAACATCATATCCACCAATCTTGACATGAGCTTTGGCCTTGTGGGGCAACATAAGAGGGGTTGGAGGATGAAGCCTTAGGGACTCCTTGGCTAGAGCTTGTAAGTAGGGAAGGTTCGAGAAATCTTCTTCAGTCATGATTCGATCCTGCCCAATAACCCGGTCTAGCTCTTCTTGAGCCTTCTTTTGTACTCTTGGGTTCTTTATTAGCTCGGCTAAAGCCCACTCAACCGAGATTGAAACTGTGTCCATTCCAGCAATGACCATGTCCTGCACCAAATCAAAAGAATGGACATCTTAGCTACTATAACATATAAACTTAGAAATTGAATTTTATAAATGTTATCAAAGAATGCATACGTACCCAAAGAAGCCCAATCACGGTGTCTTCACTAAGATCATACTCATCCTTTAGGCCAAGCAAGGCATCAACAAAATGTTGCTTTACACCACCAATGTTTTGAGACTTGGCTTTAGCATGCTCCTCCATGATTTCTCGAGTGAATCGATCCAACCGAGTATTGTGCACAGCAGCCTCACCCTTTTCTTTGTCGAGAGGCACCAACAACCATCTTAGCCACGGTAGGTGCTCGGCCAAGAAGCTTGTCTTGCTACTTTTAAACCCACTAGATAATATACCCTTGAATTCCTTTCCTAAGGGATCCAATTCTCCCTTATCATTTATAAACCTCTTCCCAAAAGTTAGCCTTGTGATGTTGTTAAATGACACTGTCCCTATGTATCGCCTTACTTTAAGGGGCTTTCCTTTGTTTTCTGCACGAACAAAAAAATAAAAAAACATGTTTTTAGTATCAAAGTTTACCATAATTTCTAGATCAAATTTTGTTCAACTATAATCAAACTTCATGTAATGAACGTACGTGAAAGTTGCAATTGATATGGTGTGTAAGTTAACATTCACGACGTTTTAGTGGTAGTAAACCAAACAAGGCCAACACCGGGTGTTGATTGGTAAAACTCGTGCACAAATATGAAAATCGTGTCAAATTTTTCTTTAATATTCGACGATTATTTTCAAATGGAGTATATGTATGTCTTTTAGCTAGGGAATAGTCATGAGGTTTAGGTGATATGTTGGTAATCAAGCAATTGTTTTATAGTCAAATTGAATGGTTTTGTTCAATTAGCTAAAATCAAAATCAAATGAGACTAAAAAAGATAGTTCACCTAACTTAATTATTCCTTCCAAGGAAAAATAAAGCAAGGTATACTAATCTTTGATCTACTCCAACCCAAAAGTCGGCTTATATGGCTCAATATGCTTGACTTTAGCCAGTGTGTCTAGTCTAGTAAAAAACGGGCCGAGTCAAGCGAACCAAAGTTTAGATATGCGTACGTATCAAACTAAGTGGTTCAAACCACACTTGACAATCACATAGTTAAAGAATACTTTGTACATTATATTATGAAACGGAGGAAGCAGAAACTAGCTAGCATAACAATTATTAAAGCGAAAACAGTACTCTTAACGTTGTCCAATGGCTATTGGTATATAAAGAAGACGTTAAGTATTTGATTTTCTAATCAAGAAGATGACACTTGAAAAGGTGTTTGCCCACTAGCTTTCACATGCCCAAATCATCATTGTGACTTGTGAGATTTGTGAAAAAATATTAAGTTTGTACCACAAAATTAAAACAGTTAAGATGAGATTAATAATTTGTACATTGCACATGGACATGGCTCATAATTATCACTATAATTATTGAAAATTGTACGCTTAACGTGCTATACCATCCTATATTAATTGTATAAGTACGTAGTTCAAAAGTTTGACCCTATACATTGCATATTTAAGCACATTTATAATATTTTCAATTATAGTCTCTGTGATCAACTACTCGCAACTTAATTAAAATCGATTTGATCTAGGTTAAAGTCAAATTAGTATGTTATATATCTCGAGTAAAGTTGTACGGTCAATTTAAGTCTAGGTCAATTTTGAGTTATGTTATCTTGGATAAAGCTATACGACTCAGTATATCAAATTTCTCAATGTAGGTACTCCGTAATAAGGTGATGATGTGTTTGACATGTGAAACAGTGTATACCATTATTATCGAAGAATTATTGAGCTCTATATAATATTCCTACCACATATCCATACGCAGTACAAAAATTATTAAAAAAAATTTAAGATCATGCTAATTAATTAAATATTTAATTATTTACTAATCAACAAATTAGCTGACCCGCAAAGTACGTAGCTGGCATATGGAATACTTGTATTTAGTTGGTATATTTGCAAGTGTCCGGTTTGTCGGCGGGTCATGCTAGGACTAGTATAAGCCAAATACTCGTAGCTCAGCGCATCTTAGTCTTAGATCAGACGGACTTACAAAAAAACGTAATAAGACATAAATATAAGAGTCAATAATTGCATAAAAGAATTTGTCAAGTTTTAAGTATAATTTAATTTTAATACTATAACCTCATTCTTATAAATGACAATCAATGAGTAATTGTTGATATCATTTAATTATTTTGTAGCTCCTCTTACATGAAAGTTCATTATCAAAGTGGAAAATTTTGGTACATTTTCAGCCAATAATTCCTTTGCTCCACCTAGAAAATGATATAACTCCATAAAGGATGTGGTGTCACATGTTTGTGGTGGCATGTTATTTATATGGTGCCAAAAAAAAACTCATATTTATTTCCAATAGTTTATATTTTTACAAACAATCAATTATTAAATAATAAATAAATTGTCTAAAACCTCCTTCCCCACCACAATATTATGTCGCCATATGGACTTATGGTTTAATTCTAAAAATTCTATGCAAGTGAAAAAATAGAAAAAAATAATAATTACATCATAAGACTCAACGTACTCAAAAGATTAAGTAGTCCCTTCGTCCAATATTACTGATATTAATTCGTAATCACGCACGCTAATATCGTCATTAACAGTATATTAATCTAAATGTATAAGGTACTATTTTGCATTAATTTTTGATTGATCAATTTTCATACTCCTATGTTTTTTATTAGAATTAAAACTCTGAAAAGAAAATCTGACAAGAAAAGAAGCCAGGTCAGTCGCCCGCCAATTCTGATGTTGTGAATGAAATAAATTAAATGATCAAACACTTTGAAAACCTGACTTTTTTAATGGGCCTTCAATTTTGCCGGTTAGCTTAATTTAACAAATTGTTGGTGCCGCACATTCAAACAATTTCACAAGGATTCACAACCATTTTAAGCAACATTAAAAACTTGCAACTCCTTTTTCTCTAGCTATTACATGACTCTTGATTGGTAATACCCTCGTTCTTACTTTATCTACTTTTTCTATTCCGATATCACGTCAACATTGGATTTGCAACCCGTGTAAATTGGATGCATGATTATTTCCATAGAGGTTGCGTACAAAATACACTTCTTTTGTGTGTCTTTGTCATATCAAATTTAAGATATGCACTATAGATTAATTAAAAGCATCCTTCCAAAATGCTTGCACTTAAAAAAGAAAAAAAAATGCTAATTGTAGGATAAAACTTAATTATATTAAGCCATGGTCCCCATTTCTTCCAAAATGCTCACTTCTTTCACACAAATTATTTATCCCCCCATAAATTCAGATAAAAAATATTTAAATAGTTTCATCAAATTATTCTTTCTATTTTCCTAAAGCAAATAAAAGTATTTTACATCCATTAAAAAAATGCATATATACTTCAACCTACATAAAATTTCCCTAAAATCATTTAAATCACCACAAATATTTTCAGATAATGACCCGATTATATATATATTAATGGTTAAAGTTATGTTTTAACAGACGTTCTTAGAATAGAAACATCGCAACTAAAAAAACAGATAAAATATTCAAAATATAATTAAAAAAAAAAAAAAAGACATACCAGGTTTAGTGCAATCGTTGAAGAGAGATTCAATCATAGCAGTAACTTCATCTTCTCTAATGGGCCGAAGAGCCTCAAGTCTTTTCTGGGTAAAAAGCTCCAAAGTACAGGCCTTCCTAACCTTAACATAATGAGGCCCATAATCGGCCCAAATAAGATCTTTACCATCTTTACTAAATCTAGCAGATGATCTACTTCTATGTCTATCAGCCAATGTTTGATCATTTTCTTTCAATACTTGTTTTGCAAGTTCCGCAT